TTAAGTTTAAAAATTCCGTATACATTCCGCATGATTAATTTTTTCCGTATACATTAGTTTTTTTAAAAAATGTTCAAAAATGAATTGCTTATTAAATATACGGAATTTGTATACGGAATCTATAAAAACGTACATAAAATGTATACAAAACGTATCCTTTCCGTATACATATTTCTTATAGGGCTTCTATTTATTAAAAGAATCAAAAAAAATCCTTTTTCTTTTTTCTTTGAAATTTTAAATATTAATTAAGCCGCTCCAAATTAACCTCCCTCTATTTTTGAAAATTTCAAAGGTAATTTAAACATATATGTTCACATATGTTTGAAGCATCCCCTCTCTTTTCTAAAATTGAGTGGTACCGAATATTTCCGATTTTACCGAAAATTTCCGAAATTTAAATGTTACAGTATGTTTGTTTAAATTAGTATTCCCTTTAAATTTTTGGACCGGAAAGGACGTTAAGCTAATTATTAGTTTTGTATGGCCTGATTGGATAGGGATGTTAGAACATCTAGAATATCGCCAAGCGAAACTGCGAAGCAGTTCCGATGATATTATAATATCACTAAAACTGAGAAGCAGTTCAGATGATATTTAATATCACTATCCAATAATTGCGGACGTCCAAGAACATGTCTATAAAAATAAATAAATTTAATAGACCATCTTTTTTATTATATATTTATGTTCATAGGTTTATTTGTGCTTTAGTTTAAAAAAAATAACATTATGTCGAAAAAAAAGCATGATCCTATTTGGTTTCTTAATAAAGGCAAATAATGGTATTAAAGATCCGAAATTAGAAAAAAATTTTTCATTATTAAAAATAGATAAAAGAAAAGGCTGTGGAAGGTTAAACGGAATTCTATCATAAGACAAATTGATTTTGATAGTATACTTTCCTAAAATGGGGAACAAATCAAAGATGCTGATCATTTTCAAACGTTAGCCCGAGATTTGTTTATACGCCAAAGTACATTTATTTTTTTTATGTATAAACGAAATATTTTTACCAGCAAAACTTTATTTTTTTCGATCAAAAGTTCCTTTCATTGATACAATACATTCATTATTATGTTAATGATAAATAGCGCTTATCCTCTACAATAATAATATATATAGACATTATTTTCTCTTTTTCCTCAAGTATTTCAGATATCGAAAAAAAAACATCAAAAAAAATATGTTTCAAGAAATACCGCTGATTAGATTTTCATATTATGTACGTTTAATTATTAAAAATAATTTTGTTACATTTATAATGAGCAAGTAAATTTATTTATTTTTAATTTTTTTTTTTTAGTACAAGAAAATAGGAAAATGGATAAGGAAGAAGTGCAATAATGTTGCACCAATAAAGCGAAATACACCAAATAAAAAAATAGATACATCAACACTAAATGAAAAACCAACATTAAATGAAAAAATAAATACATGTGAAAAATCAACTTTAAATGAAGAAACAGATACATCAACGCTAAATGAAAAATCAACTCTAGATGGAAAATCAGATACATCAACGCTAAATGAAGATACATCGAATGAGACAGCATTAAGTGAAAAAACAGATAATGAAGAGAGGGAAAACACGCCGTCAACTAAAAGAACCTTTAATTCTCTGAGAACCTTTTCAAAACCCTTTAATTCTCTGGGAACCTTTCCAAAACCCTTTAATTCTTTGACAAAAATCTTTAACTTTCTAAAAACCTTTAAATCTTCGAGAACCATTAATTTTCCAATAATAATCTATTGTGATGAACTTAAACCAATAATATAAGCTTAATGTGTACTCTTTAGAATTCTATTTCATGTGTATTATATGTATAAAATACGTATAATTAGTTTCAAATTTGTTTTTTTTAAAGTGGTTTAAATAATAAACCAATAATACTTTGGCGGAATACATTTTTAAATGTATATACTTCAGAAAATTATTTAATAAAGTGGTATTATTAAAAGAGTTTAATATACTTAATACAGTAACTAACTAATCACAAGTAAATTGTATAAACATTTTTAAACGTTTCATAAAACAATAAATTCAACGATGTTCTTTTATAAAAGGTATACTTTAATTTCCAGTTAAAGCAAACTATTCGTATATTAAATTATTTATACTAACATTCCAAAAAAGTAAATCACTTACATATCAAGTGTTGAAAATAACTGAAAAAGTAAAAAATATATTACTTTAAACGATGAGTTACACAAGTTTTTTTATTTATTTAAAAAAAGGACTGAACACCACTGAACCTTAAGAGAGGTCTAGAAAAAGGATAGATTGATAGACCTAAAAAACCCCATGATTAATAATGAATCTAAATTAGCTATTAAAAGAAGTCGGTTTTGCCAAGTCATATAATGAATCAGAGATATTTACGATTAAAATTTACATAGAATGCCATAAATATTAACGAAATTTCCAGCTTCCGGATTCGATTATTCATCTTATTTTGGTTAGAACTCTTGTTTGAAGTAGGGATAACTAATTCGGACTAACCATTCGAAAAGTTGTGAAATTTAATCTTTTTAATTGTTTGTAACATATAAAAAATGAATAAACTCGAAAATATTCAAAAATCCGTGAATTAGACAAAAAAATAGTTGAATGGATTCCATATGATAATTTAGAAAACCTGGAATATTTTAACCGAGAGTGGATTTTCTAAAGTCTATTCAGCTACTTTCCTCGGTATTAAAAATTATGAAGTAATTGAACCTATAAAGAAATTCTTTTATCGTAATACATCAGCATGTTAACAGTAAAATCCTTTCTATAATATTACTTTTTCCCTTTAACTACACTAGACAATCTAACCTGATAAGTTGTTTTGGATTTCCTTCTAATAACATTTCTAAGTTCAATTTCATTTTGTTGTTTAACATAAAATTTCAAATAAAAACTCTGGGGCTGTTCTCTTATAATTGAGAAAAAGATAATGAAGCATTTAGTTGTATTGATGGGTTATTATTAGGTACCTAAATATTAGAGAAAATAAGTAAATCATTTTTTTTTTGTTAGTAAGTAACGCGCACTTCTCTTTATTATATATTTGAATTTATTTACATAAATTAAATTACATATATTATTAAAGAAAATACAGTAGACATAACACTAATAAAATAGGTTATTCTATCTACTAACCCGTCAGCAGGTACCTATACGGCTATACCTAGTACTTTAAAATAAACTAAGGATTATGTAATCTAATCTATTTAATCTATTTAAAACGTATAAGGTGTGAGTTAAACAGGAATTTACAGGATCATAAAATTTATATTTGTTTAATCTGAAATAGTTTGAAACAAAAAATTTAAATCGAATACTAAATTAATTGAAAAAGTTTGACTAAATAATTTCCATTGATGAATTCGCGACAGGAACTCATCGAAATCTGAAATAACCCGCCTTTTCCAACAATAAGAAAAAACCTATTCTTACTTCCCCGTGAATTAGTTTGTTATCATAATGAAAGATTAATCACTATCACTTTTGTCGGCTCTACCGCTATTAGCTTTTGGTTATTCATATTCTTTCGCTAAATTCTGCGTTTAATTTGTTAAAATTATTGATTGTTTCAATGGTCAGGACCGTTGGGTCCGTTGGATTTTCCGTCGCTTCAAAAAATTTGTAATCCTCAGAAGAAGCGCAGGTATTTCCCTTCGGTCTTCCCGGTCTTTTAACAAATCTTTCTTTACTTATTAGTTCGTTGATTTGTATTCTTCCTCCAATGTTCTCTTGCATCTCAGAATCGTAAACTGCCTTCATCAGATCCTGTTCGTTATTATAATAAATTTGGATATGTTTGATTTTGTTGACTTTTATGATTTTAGCAAAGTGGCCTCCATAATTTTCTTTATGCTCCTTTATGACTTTGTATTTTTCCATGTCCACTTTTTTAACGCCTTGCCAACTGTATCTGTTTCTTATTTCTTTAGGATAGTTTAACATCAAACATTCTAAAAAAATACGTTCGTTCATTTATTGTTATAGCTATATATGATCCACCTTCCTTGTAAATTGTCTCGTATGATTTAGTGAGGCGAATCTTAGCTCTGACGGTTTTGTATTTATATTGACGTTTGACCGATAATTTTTCTACATATTCCACATTCTTTAAGCTTTCGTAAATATCTTCGTCCGTAATCATGCCACGTGAAACTTCGGCAAAATGTTGATCCAGATAAACCATATAAAAAGTTGGAACATTGACGATCATTCCATTCTTTGATGTTTGTGTTGCTGATTTTTTTTCCGATTGTTGTTACGTTTCCTAGGGGGTGATTTTTTTTTTGTTTGAATCGAATTATCACTACCATTTTTGCATTGTCAACTCACTTCTATTTGCTTATCCGTTCTTTTTCCGTTTTCTCGTTTTCTCTGATATTATTCGTTCTTGGCGGTACATCAATTTTTAATTCTTTATTCAATTTTTCCAAATTCTATAATAGTCTCCTCGTACATTTTTATTTCGTCCTTTTCTGTTACTTCAGTTTCCAATTTGCTTCTAGCTCACGTGATGTTGGTTGTTGCTGCGCTCACTAGAAGGATTGTAGTTGTTCTCAAGATTGGTACAGAAGATCAGCATAAGTCAATCAATTCATTAAAAATGGCAATGACAGAATCGTCTTGTTCTAGATTTGTTTTATTATAAAACAAGGAATAGATGATTAAAATATGAAAGTCCTCTATTTCCTTTGTAAAACATTGAATTAGGTTTTTTTCTAATTTCATTATAACAATTTGAGAGTAAACGCGTTTTATTTAGCGTTTCGATAGTATAAATAGACAAAATTTTGTTTGGCGTGCGGCACATATCAGCACATGATTGTGGCGTGGATTTCGACCAAAAGAATTATCAGAACTTGAATCACACTGGGTTCAATCAATTATTAAATCGCTCTTAAATTATTATGATGTAGTTTGCCACTCAAATTGCCGATCTTCCTGACCAAATCGTTACTAATATAGCGGCTTAAGTGTGGTACCAATTTAGATTTCCGCGATTAAACTTAATCTGTAGTGCCTCTCTAAATTCTCTGTCTTACAATGCATGTAATGTTTCCCGCATGCTAAACTAAATGATTATCATGTGATTGCGCTTATACTATGCACGCTGAGAATCGATTACACCATTACTTATAAAAATGAATCAATGTTCCTACAAACAATTTACAAGGATTTACTTTCTTCTAATTTTTAACCATGTCAGTAGGCGTTTACAATATCCCGTTTATAACTGATATTTTGCTCGATGCACTCTTAAAAGTATAATCAATTTCTTTAATTTTTAAACGGTGACGGACTCTATAATATTACTGCGTCTTTCAATTATTATTCAATTCTTAACTATCAGAACTATGTATTATTATTGCTGAGCACTTGACTGCATAGAGCTGCTAGTTTTGAACGATTACCTTTGGCCGCAGTTATTTTAAAAATTACGAAACCAAACGAATTATATTAAAATTTTTTTCTGTATATGTACAGGAACTACAAACTGGTAGAAAGGTCGTTATCACTATCAAAAATTTTACTTCACAAACTCTTGAAAAACCTAGAGTATATTACGTATCTGGAACATCTCAATTCGGGCTCCCGACTCCTCCAGTCTCGATGGGTAGAGGTTTAGTTTGGGGTGCACGTAAGACTGAATATTCACCTAAAGGAACTGCAGGAGTTATTGTGTACCATATCAAAAATTGTAATTTATCTTTAGCCTTTATGTGGAGTGTTCCACTTGTCTATTTATTTTATTCAAATTGGTGGAATCTTAAAGTTTATGAAGGTTTGATCGAACCTGATGAAGGTAACAACTCCAATCTCGAGTTTTTTTGATTATATAAACTTATTATCGTAATACTTATTTATCAATATTTATTTACCATTGTATTATTGAACACTAGACTTGTTTTGGAAGATGTACTATGACAACCCTAATCAAGGAAACGGCAATCCTTTTAGCGGTAAACTAAGCGGTGGTTGGAGTTACGAGGGATCAATGGGAGATGCAGGTCAATCTACTGTCGTTATTAATTTTCAAGATAGTAAAAGTTAAAAAGACCACTCTCTCAAATTTTTATTTTAATGGACGAAATATATTTTATTTTTGTATTTTTAGGGGCTTCTTAAATAAAATAACAGTAATGATTTCAAAATATTACGTTAACTTAGTATTTTTCGGTATTTTTTTACCCAAATCAATATCCTACATACTAAAAGTAATATTACCAAAAACTTAAAATTATTTTAAATAAGTTAAGATCGGATTTCTTTATCTAATAAGAGCACGTTTATTCAGTGGGTTTTCAAACATCTATTTTGATACTAGCGTTAGAGGCATCTTTGATAATAGAAAGTAACTAGTGTTTGGATCCGAAGCGGTTTTATCCGGTTTTTATCCGGTATCCGTTTCGGTTAATTCAGGATGGAACTATCAGAATTACCAATTTTTTGATTCATAATATATTAAATATTCTGGTCGAAATTATAGTCTATTCAGAACTGAGATTTAAAATCTTTTTTCGGCAATAATCTCATTTAAAATATTTAAGATTTTATCCGGATCAAAACACTAAAAGTAACCAGTTGTAAAATTATAAAGATATATTACATTTCGCAAATGTTTAGCCCAAGAGGATTGAGAATTGTACTTCACATCTAATATCACTTCAATTTTGCCGTAAAGGATCGAAAAAACTTTGATATATATATTTAGATATGTATCTAAATGAACCAATAGAAACTGGTGACTGATTTTTTGATCAAATTATCTTTCAATTTGCCCTGAAGCCTGAACTCATCCACATTTTCGATTTGATAACGAAAAAAAAAAAAGCATAGTATTAGAAATGTAACACAGTAATAGTGTAAATAAAGAAGAGTTGATAATATTTCCAATAGAAACTTTTCAGTTTTAACACTAAGTATTTTCCATAGTCTCATAACACTAAATTTCCAAAGTTTCGATTTGACTATATCAGAATCAGCAATTTTTACTTTTAACAGGTATAGTTTCTAAGGTAGGAACCCGAAAAATATTAAAATAAGTAACTAAGTCCAGTCAAAAAAAATTTACTATTGGTTGTACGTATTTTTTCAGGGTCGGAATTATGATAGTGTCAGTTATAAAACAGGAAATAAATTCTGGCCAACGTTATTGAAAATTGTGATTAAATTATTTTTTTTACAAATACCTACTTTTTGATAATTAAACTTAATAAGCAGTAAGAGTGTCACAGGAGTGCCCAATTCATGATTTTATTCTAATGATGCATCAGGCTTCGGGAAATTTTTATAATGTATAAATGAAATTATTATTTTTGAAATTACAATCAATTAATTCATCACAAATATAAAAAAATTCAATAATTTTTTACTACATAAAAATTTTAGTAAATTCATAATAATCTTTTTTATTTTTATGAACTGATTATTGCTTTTAGTTGGGAAATTTCAGCCTGGACGCTATTTTAATGTATTATTACATTATATATTTTGTCCCTGTCGTATCTGTAACTAAAACAGCTGGTATGACTATTACCATACTGGTTATTATTGATATCATAACTGAAAGTAAAAATAACAAAAAAAATTCTGGAAAAAAACTCCGGTAAATCATTTTTCTAGTTTTTATTGAAGAAACTCAGACACTTGTATGACGTGACCATTTTTCTGAAAAATTTTTTATAGGGATACTGTAACATATCATATCTCTGTATATGTAACTTGTGAAGCCATTTTGGCCAAACTTGTTAATTTATTGGATAGTAGTAAAATAGTGATAAAAATTAGGAAGGATTGCTTGTTTAATTTTTTATTTATATACAAAATGCAGTACTAATACAAGTTACAACAAAAAATTGATAGAATGATTCAACTACATAAATAAAATTTTACATATTTAATTTTTATGTAATATATAGATCATTGTGCCTTGAAATATCCGTGCAAGAAAATATGACTGATAACTTTGTAGGATTGAAAGCTGTATAATAAATAGTCATTAGATGTTATATCGGTCATGACCATTTTCACCAATCAATGAAGGCCCCTGTGACCGATATATATAGCCCTACATCAATAAATGTCATCATGGCGGATTTATAAAATACCCCCAAAATTTGTCCGTCATGTCAAATTAAATAAATATTTGACAGTATTTTAGTCACCAAATTTCTATTTAAGTCCCAAATTTATTAGTGAACAGTCAAAAATGGGCTCTAAAAAATTTTTTTGCACCTCAAATCTTGCGTCTAACCAATTTTCCCATTATCTAACCAATTTTTCCAGAGAAAAAAGTTTAATGTTTCTGTAAGTTAATTTTAATTCCCGAGGGCGCAACAGGTTGCCAAATTTCATAAATCCGCCGCAATGCGTTATCGTTCTGACATTTTCAATCATACATTTTAAAATTAATAACACCATAAATAGGCTTTCTAAAAATTCCACTTTATATAAGTTTTATTTAAACTTTTCTTACAAAATATTCACTGACACCATATTTTTTTACTCCACTTCATTATATCAATCATGTGTTATTGCTATGCCTAATAAAAATATCGGTCTATGAAAATCTGCATGATCCTATTGGGCTGAACGATAATATCAAATATATTTTAAAATTAAAAAGTCATAGGTAAATTTTTCTGCTAATTTCAATTGTGCATTTTTTTATAAAAGTTCAGCTTGCAGATTATTAGAAACGAAATAATTTTAGAAATATCATACTTTTAATAATGAATAAAATCACATCTTATTACTTTTTCGCTATATATTATTAATATTAAAACTAATAATGGTAAATTTATGATCTTTCCATACTTCTTTTAAGATCTATTTAAACAGCTAAAACTCATTCTAAAAGAAATCTACAAATTTAGGGAAAAAATTTATCAGCTGAAATTTATGGATAATGAAATTTCTTTAGCTTGTAACAACTTTTATTTATTCTCATATGAATATAAAATAAATAAGAAAGTATGTGACTTGTAAGATCATATGATTTTACTTTAACAGCTATAACAGTATAAATAATAATAGTCGGATACTAAAAATATCCTCTGCTAAGTTTATTTATAATTCTAAATTTTTGCTTGTGAAGTAAAAAGTTAAGAAACATAGTATTATGCAAAGAAAATTAACAATTAGAAAAAATTATCATTCATGCGAAAAAAAGATTTACCGATTCATTTTTTTAAGCCACCAATCAAGAATATCTGGAGTCTATCAAAATCTCTTAAGTTTTCTCAAAATTAAATACCTCATATTTAACAATAATTTCTTTGGAAATTATAATTATTTCTAAGCAGTAAGCAAAGCATCATTTCTGAAAATATTTACGTTTGAAGTTATCAACCAATTTTCACCAACTGATTACTAAGAATATCGACTTACTTTTATTTTTTATTTTATTAACTTATGAACCTAAAGAAGACCCCCGAAAAATGGTGGTAGGAAGAATAATCATGTAGATCTCCTTTTTTGGATAACGTTGGCCAGAATTTTATTTCCTGTTTTAGTAACTGACTGACACTATCTTAATTCCGGCCCTGAAAAAATGCGTACAGCCAATAATAATATTTTTCGGGTTCCTAACTCAGGAACTATACCTGTCAAAAGTAAAAGTTGCTGATCCTGATATAGTCAAATCGAAACTTTGTAAATTTAGTGTTATGAGACTATGGAAAATACAGTATTAAAAATGTAACACAGTAATCGTGTAAGCAAAGAAGAGTTGATAACATCACTTCCAATAGAAACTTTTCATTTTTAACACTATGCTTTTCTTTCATTATCAAATCGAAAATGTGGATGAGCTCAGAGCGAAATTAAAACATAAGTTGATCAAAAAATCAGTCACCAGTTTCCATTGATTCATTTAGATACATATCGAATATAGATATCAAAGTCTTTTCAATCATTTATGGCAATGAAGTAATATTAAAGGTGAAGTACAATTCTCAATACTCTTGGATTAAACGTTTATGAAAATGTAATATATCTTTATAATTTTACATTTAGTTGCTTTCTATTATCAAAGATGCCTACGTCTAACGCTAGTACCAATGCAAAATAGATGTTTGAAAATCACTGAATAAACGTGCTCTTATTAGATAAAGAAGTTGATCTTAATTTATTCAATATAATTATCAAATTTTGTTAAAGTTTTTGGCAATATTATTTTTAGTATGTAAAATATTGATTTGAGTAAAAAAATACCGAAAAATACCAAGTTAACGTAATATTTTGAAGTCATTACTGTTATGTTATTTAAGAAGCCCCTAAAAGTACAAAAATAAAATACATTTTGTCCATTAAAACAAAAAAACCAAGTACATCTCATCCATAAAAATATTTAATTTGTATATTTTGATAAGTCACTATCTTTGAGAGAGTGGTCTTTTTAACTTTTACCATCATGAAAATTAATAACGATAGCAGATTGACCTGCATCTCCCATTGATCCCTCGTAACTCCAACCACCGCTTAGTTTACCGCTAAAAGGATTGCCGTTTCCTTTATTAGGGCTGTCATAGTACATCTTGTAAAACAAATCTAGTGTTCAATAATACAATGATAAATAAATATTATTAATAAATATTGATAAATAAGTATTACGATAATAAGTTTTATATAATAAAAAACTTAAGACTGGAGTTGTTACCTTCATCGGGTTCGATCAAACCTTCATAAATTTTAAGATTCCACCAATTTGAATAAAATAAATAGGTGAGTGGAACACTCCACATAAAGGCTAAAGATAAATTATAATTTTTGATATGGTACACAATAACTCCTGAAGTTCCTTTAGTCGAATATTCAGTCTTACGTGCACCCCAAACAAAACCTTTACCCATCGAGACTGGAGGAGTCGGAAGCCCGAATTGAGATGTTCCAGATGCGTAATATATTCTAGGTTTTTCAAGAGTTTGTGAAGTATAATTTTTAATAGTGATAACGACTTTTCTACCAGTTTGTAGTTCCTGTACATATACAAAAAAAAAAATTAATATAAGAGCAATCTCATTCGTTTGGTTCCGTAATTTTTTAAAAAACTGTGGCCAAGGATTATCGTTCAAAACTAGCAGCTCTGTGCAGCCAAGTGCTCAGCAATAATACATAGTTCTGATAGTTAAGTGTCGAACGATAATTGAACGACGCAGTAATATTATAGAGTCCGTCACCGTCTTAAAAAGAATTAAACATATTTGAAAAATTAAAGAAATTGATTATACTTTTAAGAGTGCATCAAGCAAACTATCAGTTATAAACGGAATATCGTAAACGCCTACTGACATGGTTAAAAAATTAGAAGAAAGTTAAATCTCTTGTGAATTGTTTGTGGGAACATTAATTCATTCATTTTTATAAGTAATGGTGCATAGTGTAACCGCAATCACATGATAATCATTTATTAGTTTAACATGCAACATTACATGCATTGTAAGACAGAGAATTTAGGGTAATGTGGCGACTCGGTTTAATCGCGAAAATCTGATGAAATTTCATAACTATCTATGTTAAGTCTGGTCAGGTTTGGTCGGCAATTAGGGACTGAGACTATTATTAAAGCGATTAATAACGAACGAGTTTCATCCCAGTGTGATTCTTATTACGATGTACAAAATAAACTATGTATTTTATATAATAAATCTATGATATTCGAAATATTCATGGCGCTATAGTAAATTATCATACAACAATTAGATGTTTTAAAATATTAAAAGATAATTAATTATATAGCAATTTAATAACTCGGGACGTTAGATTTTTACAAATACTGAGGAACAATCTGTAATTATCATTGTAATATATGATGTGAGTGCAGAAAATTTTTTTTTTAAATAATTAGTGTATTCTGATTTCAGTGATTTATATCCATTAGTTAATATGCAGCTTTGGACCTGGGAATTTTTTCGTCTGTGGCGTAGCAGCAAACACGCAGCACGTGACGGTCGAACAAAACGGAAATTTTTTTCCTCGAGGAACCAATCATTTTAAGGAGCGATCGCATCATCGATTGGCATCACGTTGAAGTAGGGAAATTCTTACCACACCACCCTCGGTTACACAGTGACATTTAGCGTCACATCGTCACGTGATATCCGCGTTTGCATTTTTTATATTTATCTGAGGGACTTGGTTTTTTTTTACTAGCCTGATCTCTATTTGTCACGCACCTCGGACATCACACCCAACAAATATTTGTGTAACCGAGGGTGGTGTGGTAAGACTACCCTTGAAGTAGTTACACAAAAAAAATTTCCAACGACAAATAAAAATTGGAGACGATCAACCAATGATAATTTTTTTTTCTAAAGGAATGCCATCATATGGACAGGAAATCTACAGAGGGGATACCGGGATAGAGATGCGGGCTGTCTACTAGAACAATGAAGGCGGTTGTCACGAATAGTTGGGTATAGAGGATAAGAAAAATAATTAGCCGCAACGTGATCCGGACCCGGCTCAGGCGTAGGTCGTCGTGGAATTCCAGGGGATTTTCTGCGATTAAACCGGATCCGGATGATCGGCAATCAGGAATTCGGCTCCGTTTTTCGGCTAACTACACCATTTTGCATAGAGGGGGGGTGAACGAGGTTTATGCGTTAGGAGGAGTTCCCGGTTATTTGATTAACATTAGGCTGCATTTCATGAATTTTAAAACATTAAAATGTTGAACACATAGCATATGATTTAATTCCACCTAACCTTTATTACGAAGGTGAGTTGTCATTTTACTGTATATTGTCTATAATTGTTCTAGTTTGCTTATAACTTCTGACTTTCTGAATACTGGCTAAATACCAACTTCCAGAGTTAGTCTGTTGAGTCGTTTGATGTATTTTGGATCACAGAAAAATCCGTCTCTGTATTAAAAGCAGGATCGCACCCATACTTCGTAGTTAAATATCCTCTCTGAAGCAAGAGTGGTAGAGAAAGTGGGGATATTGCGCAAACAATTAAAGGTCAGTTCAATACAAAAAAGGAACGTCAGGAAAGACTTCTTGTCATTACACCCCTCGATGCTTTCGAGGAGAGTTTGATGCTTTCTAACTCTATGGGGAGGAGAAGCACTGTGGCTTTGCTCATTATGTGCGATTTCTTTCGCGTGTACACCTACTTACTGACGTGTCATCAATAATATTAAATATTATTCCCATGATTTAACTTTTTTGCCTTCTTTATCTACTGTGTAAGGATTCATCATCAAAATCAGTAATATGGTCTGGAACAGGAGCAAAGAGATTGCAGAGTCCAAAGTTCATTTAACACTCAGTGAACTACTAGCTAGCTAAATTAAATCAAAGTTGAGACTATATTATTATAAATGTCGCAATGATTTGATTATTTTGATTGCCTCTAACTTTTCAGACGAATCTCTAGCCCGATAACAACATTAATTAGAACATACCCTTTCATATATGAGCATTATTGATTGTACTGCACCTTTCAATTTACTATATACTTGTTTTGGATACAAATTAGAAACGAATCATAGTACTTACTATGACTTCAGATCTAGAATAAATATCAATAATAAAATGTTAAAATTGGATATTACTTTTGATTAGTTTCAGACTATAACTCTGAATTTTTATTTTTTTTAATCCTTCTTTATTAAATTCTTAATTAATAGCAATAATATATATAGATAACTTTTTATTTTTTTAAAAAAAGTCAACCTTAAGATAAAATTAGTAACCTTGTTTTTTTCCTTTTAAGAATAGTTTAGTTTAGAATTTATCAAATCTTAATGTGATAGATTAAATTTTTGTAATACCTACTAATTATAAAAGAAATGGTAGAAAGTTATGTAAAGCATTTGAAATGTTATAAACGAAAAAAAATTAAAAATTATATGGCATAGTAACTAATGGATACAAATCACTAAAATCAGAATACACTACTTATTAAAAAAAAAAAAATTTTTCTGCACACAAATCATATATTAGAATGATAATTACAGTAGTATGGCTCCTCAGTATTTGTAAAAATCCAACATTCTGAGTTATTAAATTACGAAATTTAGAAATTCCGGCGTCATTAATATTTCGAATATCGTAGATTTAATAATTACTAGTTTATAATGCATTTCAAAGTTATAAAATACATAGTTTATTTTGTGCATCGTAATAAGAATCACACTGGAAAGAAATTCGTTCGTTATTAATCGCTTTAATAACAGTCAATTCCTACTAATTGCCGGCCAGACTTATGAAATTTCATTAGATTTCCGCGATTAAACTAAGTCTTGCTGTTAGTCCTTCCTAAATTCTCCGTCTTACAATGCTATTCTATTAAGCGCCGTAGTGATTAATAGTTTATACCGGATAGATGATCCCTAGTTACCTTGGATGAATCTCAACACTGACCATTGAATTTTTACACCGGATGCCCGGACGGTATCTACAGTATTATGCAGAGCACCAACCACTACTGTATATTCGATTTGCAATCAACTTGAAAAGTTATTTTATTTTTTTAATACACTGTAATCATACTAGTCCATGATTTTATTTAATTAATTTTAATTTTGTTTATAATTATTTTAAATCTAAAAAAAAACAAGTTTTTATAATTAAATATAAATGTGATCTATCGTTTCCGGACCAGAATTTTTAATTAAAATTTGTTATACTATTTATGATTTTATTAAATAATTATGGGATAGTACTGGAGGTTTTGACAACTACCCTGGTTGTATATCCGGGTAGTACCTTGGATGTATCCAGGATAGTCGTTCATAAATCCCAAAGTACCCTGGATACATCCAGGGTATGTAGTTGGTCAAAAATCCCAAGTACTAAACCATCTTCTGTAATATAAGTAATATTTTGAAATTTTTCAAAATGAGTTTATTCTACAATATACGGCATTAAGTTCAGTTGTGATTATTATTGTATAAATTCATCAAATTCTGATCAGCACGGTACTTTTTTATTTTTTTTTATTTTTATTACACAGAGTAAATACAACTTCAGTAATTATTACATAGATACTATATACTACTAGCACCGACAGTAATATTATAAAACACTGAAAAACCAGTCCCCACGAAGAGAACTTCACTCTGGTGGTGTGATAAGGGGAAAAAATGACAACCAACACACGCTTGTCCGCGCAAGAAGAAAAACAAAAAACCCTGAAGACAGAAAGAAAAAAGAGGCCCTGTCTATTCCACGTCACGACCCTTTTAATTCAATCCTGTATTTATCTTTCATATAAATGCCACCTGTAAATGCCGTCAAAGATGGAATGAATTGTTTTTAGATAAATTGTCTTTAAAAGGTAAAATTAGTTATGTTTAGGCGTCGGTAATTATGTTAACTTCGGAAGTGAATCCGAAGTATGATTTGTGCGTTTATTCTTCTTCAATATGGTGTTGTTGTTATTCGAAGACGATTCATCGTCGCTGTTAGTCGGTGTGCGAAGGAGAAATACGTTCTTGCGGTTTAGAATTCTCTTGCTTGCTTGTTAAGACTGAATTCAAAACGTGCTTGTGCTGAAGCCATGACGTCATTAACAATATGAAGGCGTTCCGAGGTCCTGAGTGAAATTGTTATGATGCGTGTATCAGTAGTTAGTGAAGTTTTAGCCTGAATAATAGTTGATGTCTTTTATTTTTATATCACAAAGTACACAAAGTCGTAGTACAAGGAATAGTTGATGTCGAGGGAGTACAAATGTTGCATGCTAAACTAAATGAGTATCATGTGGTTGCGGTAACACTATGCACGCTGAGGATCCGACTACTTCATTATTTATAAACATATTTAAAATGTTCCCACAACATTTCACAAGAATTTAACTTTCTTCTAATTTTTAACCATGTCAGTAGGCGTTTACCGTATTCCGATTATAACTTATTCTTTGCTCGATGCAGTCTTAAAAGTATATAATCAATCTCTTTTTCAAATATATTAAAGTGGTGATGGCCTCTATAATATTACCGCGTCAGTCAATTATCGTTCGACACTTTACTATCAGAACTATGTATTGTCGCTAAGCACTTAACTATATATAACTGATAATCTTTGTTAATTACGGAATTCATTACCCTTATATTAAAATTTTTTTTTTTTGTATATGTACAGAAACTACCAACCAGCAGAAAAGTTGCTATTGCTATCAAAAATTATTCTTTACAAACTCTTGATAAACCTAGAATATTTTTTGTATCTGGAGTATCTCAATTCGGGCTTCCTTCTTTTCCAGTCCAAATGGGTGAAGGTTTGGTTTGGGGTGCCTGTAAGACTGAATATTCGACTAAAGGAACTTCAGGAGTTATTGTGTACCATATCAAAGATTATAATTTATCTTTAGCCTTTATGTGGAGCATTCCATTCACCTATCTCTTTTATTCAAATTGGTGGAATCTTAAAGTTTATGAAGGTTTGATCGAACCCGATGAAGGTAATAACCTCAATCTCAAGTTTTTTGATTAAATAAACTTATTATCACAAATATTTATTTATCAATATTATTTATCATTGTATTATTGAACACTAGATTTTTTTTGGATGATGTACTATGACAGCCCTCATAAAGGAGACGGCAACGCTTATAGCGGTAAACTAAGCGGTGGTTGGAGTTATAAGGGAACAATGGGGAGTGAAGGTCAATCTATTATCGTTGTTAATTTTCAAGATTAACTTGTTAAAAGACCACTCACTCTTTTAAAGATAGTACTTTAACTATCAAAATATACAAAATTAGTATTTTATGGACGAAATGTACTTAGTATTTTTATTTTTAATGGACAAAATGTATTTTATTTTTGTATTTTTGGGGGCTTCTTAAATAAATAACAGTAATGATTTCACGGATTTTTTTTAACGTATTAATTTGTTCAAAAACTTAATTTTAAAATTATTTTGAATAAGTTAGGATCAGACTTCTGATTTTCAAACTTATCTATTTTGGTACTAGCGTTAGATAATAGAAAGCAACCAAATGTAAAATTATAAAGATATATTACATTTCATGAACGTTTAATCCAAGAGGATTAAGGATTGTACTTCACCTCTAATATCATTTCAATTTGGCCGTAAAGGACTGGCAAAGGATTGGTAAAGGATTGAAAAAACTTTGATATCTATATTCAGATATGTACTGTATCTTAATGAACCAATGGAAACTGGTGACTGTGATTTTCAACGAATTTATCTTTTAATTTTGCCCTGTACTCATTCGCAATTTTGGCTTGATAATGAAGAAAAGAAAAGAAGAGTTGATAAATCATTTCCAATAGAAACCTTTCATTTTTAATCATTTCATTCTTAACACTAGTAAGTATTTTCCATAGTCTTGTAACACTAAATTTCCAAAGTTTCGATTTGATTATATCAGAATTAGCAACTTTACTTTCATCCGGTATAGTTTCTGAGGTTTGTAAGTTAATAAAAAATAAAAATAAGTCGATATTCTTAGTAATGAGTTGGTGAGCGTTGGTTGATAACTTCATACGTAAATATTTTTAGAAATGATGCTTTGCTTGGAAATAATTATAATTTCCAAAATATGAGGTATTTATTTTTGAGAGTCTTTGATAGATTCTTGATAGATTCTTGATTGGTTGCTTAAAAAAAAATGAATCATATCTTTTTTTCGCATAAATGATATTTTTTTCTAATGATTAATTTTCTTTGCATGAGTCTATTTTTCTTTTAACTTTTTATCTCATAAGCAAAAATTAACAATTATAAATAAACTTAGTAGGCGTAAAAGAAAGATGGGATATTTTTAAAATGGCTAGTATCCGACTATTATTATTACTGTTATACAGTAGCTGTTATAAAGAAATCATACAATATTACAAGTCACGTACTTTCTTATTTATTTTATTATTCATATGGGAATAAATACAAGCTGAAGTAATTTCATTATCCATAAATTTCAACTTATAATAAAATTTTCCCTTAATTTGTAGATTTCTTTTAGAATTAGCTGTTTATATCTTAAAAGAAGTGTGAAAAGATCATAAATTTACCGTTATTATTTTTAATTTATTAGCAAGGTTTAATATATGATTCTATTCATTATTAAAACTATGATATTTCTAAAAATATTTGATACTTGTTTTTAATAATTTGACACAATATTTTAAAGCTGAATTTTTGTAAAAAAATAAAAAAAAAAATAAAAAAAGTTGGAAAATTTTATGAGATATCAAAGTTATATTGGTAGGCATATTGCTTTATATTTTTAACAATTTTGGTGCTAAATTTGTGGCTCTTTTGCTGCAATTATTGCACAAACTGAAAATTTACACATGATTTTTAATTTCAAAACATAATTTGATATTACATATTTTTTAATCCTAAAGAGTTGGCAGACGTATTCAGTATTTACCCACAGTCAATTTTTTTTTTTTTGTATTAGTACTACATTCATTATATAATTAAGAGTTAAACAGGAAAATTTGCCCGAGTTACAAATGAAAGGATAATAATAATTATTATTATTTTAGTTACTATCTAATAAATTAATAAATTTATCGTACCATTCCGAAATTAAACAACCATTTTTTGAACTTAATTCCGGCCAACGCAGTCATAATTCTGGTCAAAATCGCCATAATGCAGGCCAGGGTTGCTTATTTTCGGGGTTGTTTAATTTCGGAATGGTACGGTATATTGGTATCATAAAGTTTCCATCTCATTAGAAATAGCAAAAGGACTTTACATAATCCAAGATCAATACTGTATCATGACGTTTTGATGTAACGCTATATTTTTGAATATGAATCATTGATGATGCACATGATCATGTCTGATAAATGTAAGATTTAATTTTTCCATAAAGTGTGTCGTAATAATCAAATTTATTTTGAACTTAGCGGTGACGCCTTATCGCATAGTAAAAGATTTATGATATAATGCCTTACAATATGCACCGGAGAATGAAGATAAATATACTCAAAAGCTTCAGACGTTTATTTTTTCGAGATGATAATATGAGAATTAGCATCTTTTGTTTATTTTTCTCATGATAAAATTAATAAAAGGAGTTATTAATGTTTTACGTCATAAATTATTAAATTATTGATATTATTGAAAATTGGAAAATTCAATGAAATTAATGAAATTTAAATCCTAAAATAATTGAAATAGCTGAAATTGAAAGAAAAGAAGTAATGATTGGATTTTAAATTTCTAAAGAAAAAAATTATTTATTTACTTTATCGGACCATTTCTTGAATACCATTTTCTTGAATATAGGATATTTTCCTGAATATCCAATTTCACGAATACCTATTTCCCAAACTCTGAATCTTGAAAATTTATAAAATGTATTTCCAAAATTTATTATATAGTAGTTTGTATAAACCATATGAAGTGAAAAAATGTAAAATTAATTTCGCTAAACAATACAAATATTTTATTCATTATCGTTATCAAAGGAAAAAAAGAATGAAATTTAATTTGTACTTTGGGAGAAAAGTCTCTTGGTATAATAAGTTTTCATTTACGGTAATATGGTATGATTGATCAAATTTTCTTGACATATCGAAGTGTTTTTTTTAAACTAAGATTTTCAGATGACTACATCACCTTTCTTTCCAATTTTTTAAAGGAGATGAAAGCATTTTTGTATAATATAGTTATATATACTATTCAAAAAACAAATAATTATATCGAAGACATGTACAGTACGTATAATTTATTGATTGGTATAAATACAAAATCAAATCAAATTTCTAAATTTAAGAGTTATCCTACACCATACAAACCTGTTTATGCATTTTTCCAGGATTAAATAATAAATTTCAAACTAAAAATTTCTTAAAACAAAAGATTTTCTTTTTACAAATAAAATTGTTCAATTTTTAAAAAATTTTCAAATTATATAAGCTGTTAAGGATATCATTTAAATCAAGTAAATTTTCCATTTGTTTTCTTGAAAAATACTTGTCTTTGAAAGTTTCTGGAACATTTTGGCAGTTTTTAGGATAATTTGGTAACAAATAATCTACCAAACTCATGTTGGGAATGAGAGATATTGTTATATAACAATTTTCTCTAAGACAAACATAATCTATTTCCTATGTAAATTAAAGAATAGTATTATATTTTGCTCTGAAGGGAAATTAACGATCTGAATAAGTAAATAGAAAATATACCATATCAATAGAATTTATTTCAATTGAAAGTTGAGAATCATATTTAATACATATTAGAATCTGATGTTCAATCCAACCTAATCCCTCAAGATTCACCAAATCATAATAATTTAACATATGTTTCTTTTGCATATATTCCTATAGTTGAGTTAATGTTAATTTAAATTAAATAAAATAATAGGGATTTTAAATAATTAACTTACATCATTATTTATAAATTTTATAAAGCAATCTTTGGATAATATTTTTTTAATATTCATTTTACAAATAAGAATCCCAACCCCGAAATTCATTAGTATAGGCAAATCCAAGCGAAGTTTTTCATTTTTAAAAGATAATACCAGCCCTGACAAACTTTGATTTTAAAATTGTGGTTAATCTGTATTTGACAATTTGAATTAAAGTATAGACTTTACCTGCTTATATCATTTTGTTGAAATTGACAAAGTTCACTATTCAAATTTGTAAGATTTGAAATAAAGTATACTTTTTTTTCTAATAAGTTTGTTTAAGTTTTTTTAAGATATCATATATTATTAACAAATAGAAGATAATAAATAATTTAAGTATGTTCTTACCTTTATACATATATTTACTAAATTCATCAGCAATTCCAAATTTGGTATAGTCACATTTGTCAATTTCACAAGTCTCATATAAATATGACCAAAAATCTGAATGCTTTTGTAATAAATGAAGATATGAAATAGCTTCATAGCAATATTCGTATTTAATGCTTAAATTAAATAATATATCCAAATCTACTTTGGCTTCATAATACTTGTTTAATTCAATGTGTATTTTACATCTAATTAAAAGTAATAATAATTCATTCTCGCTAATATTAGAGATTTGATTGATTTTTGTTAATATATTATTTAAATCTTTAGAACTATTTTTATTTAGTAAGTATTCTAGATGATATAATTGAATCTTTGCTAATCTATTATCAGAATTTGTCAATGCTATATACTTTTTAAATAAGATTTTAGCATTATTAATATCATTCTTCATATAATATGTTAGACTTTTAAGATAATATGCCAAACTATTCAATGGATCTAATTGTATAATTATATTAAGATCTGATAATGCTTTATCATATTCTTGAACAATACAATATGCAATAGCTCTCTTACTTAAATTATGAATGTTTTCTGGATCTATAATGTTTGCTTTTGTAAAATATAATATAGCTTTACTATATTGTACCATTTTACATAAAATTTCTCCATAATAGCATAAAATCAGTGAATTCTTCTCATCAATACTCAGCAATTTATCTAACATTTTTAAAGCGTTTATATTATCTCCTTTCTTTTCATATCTGTATGCACAATTTTTAAGGCATAAATGATTATTTGGATCATTTTTTAATGCAATATTATAATTTTCTATAGCATATTCATAATAATTATCATATAATAAGCAACTATTTCCAAGTATTATATATAAATTATTTAATTTTGCTTTATAATATAATGATTCTTCTAAATAATTTATTGCTTTAAAATAATTATTTTGTCTAAAATGTATTTCTCCACAAATGAAATAAGCAACTGGTCTTTTAGGATTTAAATCAATAGCTTCTTCTAAGTATAAGTGTGCTTGTTTATAATTGTCAAGACATCTATAAATATAAGCTAAAATGCATCTTAAAGAATAACTTTTAGGAAATAAATTTAAAAATTCTTTACATAAAGTTTCAGCCTTTTCATAATGTTTATCATTTATTTCTTTTATAATATTTTGATATATCGGATGTTGTTTTTTTGTAATTTTTGAAAGAATTGATGATGAAATTTTTGAATTTAATTTAATAATTGAATTCATAAATTTCTTTTTTTTATTTAATATAAGATCAACTTCTGAGTCATCTGAATCATCACTATCATAAAGTTGTTGATGGGAATTTTCTAATTCAATTGAAGGTAAAATATGTCCAGATTCAAAAAATTTCGTATATAAATTTTTATAAATTGAATCTTGTGGTAAATATCTAATATCATCATCTTCAATTTTTTCTCGACAATTAGGACATATTTTTTGTTTTAATTTTATTAAATTGTTTAATGCTAACATATGTTGACATTTTAATATATATAATTGATCCATTGGTTCAATATTAATTGGACAAGTAATTTCATCTGCTATAACATCTAAAATATTAGAATTTGATATTTGTTCTTTCTTTAAATATGAATTTTGATTTAAGCTTTTTCCTTTTCCTTCTTTCCCTTTTTCAGTATTATTACTTAGAATTTTTAAATCTTCATGGTATTTCTCCTTAACAAAAGTTAATAAATTTTGAAACTTTTCCAAAGAATCTTCTAAATTATTTTCACTTAATTTTTGTGTATATTGATCAAAATCAATTTCAATCATTGAAAACATTTTATTATCAATATTATATAAATGTACCAATAATTCAATAGATTTAAATTGAATAAAACTACTTGGTGCTTTATTAAGTGATTCAATTGCCAAATAATAACAAAGACCATATGTTGCTATTCGAGATGATCTTTGGATAAGATTTTGTGCAAGATCCAATAATCCAAACCATAAAATATGTGGTAATGCAATAGGTTCATTTCCAGCAAGATCATTTAATAAACCTCCAGCATTTTTCAGAGTCTTGACGACTTTATTTGATACTTCATCAAATTTTGTTTGAGAATCTAAAACAGATTTATCCTCAGCATTAACCCATTCTCTTTCCAAAAAGCTCCAAATATATTCCATTAATACCAATTCTCCAAGTTTTTTACTTATAATCTTTTCAGAACTTTCAGACCAGATGAAAATATTATGTTGGATTATTAACATAATTCTCCAATCTATATAATAAGATGCCACTGGGTATTTAAAACTTAAACTCTGACGTACTTGAATAAGTAATGATAAGATTGAACAATTATCATTTGGAAGAGTAACTCCTGTTATTGATAAAATTCCTGGTGTAATATTTAATGCAGCTTTAATAAAATCTTTAGTTCTTCTTATAATTTCTTGAAACCAAGTTTCATCATCACGTAGACTATGAAGAGTATCTCTTAAATGGATTAATAAAAAATCAATATTATAATTACGCTTTTTAATTACAACTTTTTCATCTTGATTATTATTTTGTTGATTGAATAGATTGTAATTTGATCTAAAATTATTATCAACACCTATTTCAAAAACCTGAGTTGTTTTACGATGAATTTCTGCAAATTTTGTCAAAGAATTATAAACTTTATTTCGAAGTTCTTTACTTAATATTATTGATGAAAAACATATTCGTTCTAAAACCATAACCAAAGTTCTTAAATGTAATTCTAATCTAGCTAAACTTTCTTTTGAATAATGATTAAAAGGAGTATCAATTAAAGCTTCTAATGAATTTGCTAAAATTTGAGATGAAAAATCATTTTGTAAATTTTCAAAAATTAATTTAAGTGCGTATAAATAACTTGGTTTAGTCAGATTTTTTATTAGTTCTTCTACTTTATCATCTGACGTAATGAATCCATCCTCTTCTAATTTGATAAGGATACGATTTTTGAACATATTTTCATATAAAATCATTTTATTCTTATATGAAGAAGAGTTGTTATTATTTTCTAAGTTATCAGATGTAGTAATAGAAGTAGTATTGGTAGAAGAACTTTTACTCTATTATTATGTAAAATATATAAAATAAGTTTTAAATTTTTAATAATTTGTGATTAATTAAATTTTGATATTGCTTAAAATAATAATTTACCTGACTTGAACTTCCTTCCATATTTTTTATTTTTTTTATTACAAAAAGAAGTAAAATTCTATACCAACAGAATTAAGTAAAAAAATTATGTATGTAACACAATAACGTGCATTTGTGCTTACAACATTTCATATGCAGCCATCACCTGATTCAAATGTAAAAAATCTGTGATTTATCTGTTATGTAAATTCTAAACGCTGATCAGCATGATTTTATTCTCAAGTGATGATTGGATATTATTTTTAAACATAAAAGTCGATAATAAATCTTTTAAAAAATTTAGTAACTAAACAAGCGAAAACATATTTTTTAATAGATAAATTTATTAAAAAAAAAGAAATTAATGACTTTATTTAAACCATAATTTCGAAATAAAATGAAATAAAAAACATGATAAATTGATAATATAAAATTTTAGAAAATTTTGCGTACAGAAGTCTTTATTCAATGTTAAAAAAATTGTTCATTTCAAATAAATTTTTTTTTTCATTTTTAATCATTTTATTCTTAACAATATGTACTTTTTAAAGCCTCGTAACAATAAATTTTCAAAGTTTCGATTTGACTATATCAGAATCAACAACTTTTATTTTTAACAGATATAGTTCCTGAGTTTCATAAGTTAATAAAAAATAAAAAAATAAGTTAGTAATAAGTTGGATGAACATTGCTTAATAACTTCAGGCATGATTTGCTTAGAAGTAAATATAATTTTCAAAGGAATTATTATAAAAGTGATAAATAAATATGAGGTATTTATTTTTGAGAAAATTTGAGAGCTTTTAATAGTCTTTTGATATTCTTGATTGGTGGCTTAAAAAAATGAATCGTTATCTTTTTTCACATGAATGATATTTTTTTTCCGAATGATTAATTTTCTTTGCATTGAGTCTGGTTTTTTCTTTAACTTTTTACTTCACAAGCAAAAGATTTACAATTATTAATTAAACTTCGCCAGCGTAAAAGAAAGATAGGATATTTAGTATCTGAATATTATTATTACTGTTATAACTGTTAGAATAATCATATAATATTAAAAATCACATACCTTCTTATTTATTTATTATTCATATGAGAATAAAATTTCTTACAAACTAAAATAATTACATCATTAATGAATTTCAACTTACCCTAAATATGTAGATTTTCTTTTAGAATGAGTTTTAGATGTTTAAATAGATCTTAAAATAAATGTGGAAAATCTCATAAATTTACCATCATTATTTTTAATTTTATTAACAAGGTTTTAATTTAATAAAAATTAATAAGATGTTGATTTTATTAAAAGTATGATGTTTTTTAAAAATATTTGACACTTGTTTTTAATAATTTGGACACAAGATTTTAAAGCTGAATTTTTATAAAATAAAGTGAAAATTTTTTTTTAGATTTTAAAGTTACATTGGTTGCGTATTGTTACAACACTATTATTATAAGTTTAAATAAATTTCGAATTATAAAAATTATAAACATAGTAATTTAAATTTTATAATGGAAAATTAATAAATATTTAAACCAAAATCATATTATAATATGTATGTATAAAATTCTTGTTTATTTAAAATTATGATGATTGATTCATTTTGCTTATTATTTATTATTTTAACATTCAACTTTTCAATTATATACATTTATAAGGTATCAAAAAACTAATTATCATTTGCACATAACAAAAATTTTTATCCGGTAATATTATAATAAACGTTGCAAATATTTTTATTTTTTTATTGACAAAACACAGAAATTTTATAATTGAATATAATGTTAAAATGCGAATGGTTTGACACAAAGAGCAACTAACTATATATCTTTTTGAGGCCTAGCACTTATTTAATCTATATTCATAATATTTTATATGTCTACTTTATGCAGGTTAAACTTATATTACACGTTCGTTTGTTTTTACTAAAATCATTAAATGAATATTATAATAAAGAATAATTTATTTGTAATGTTAAATTGTTAATTAAAATAAAATTTATTATAGAAAAATAAATAGTAATACTATAATGGTATTGCATTATATACGTACTAAAATTACTATACATACTTAATTCAACATAATGGTTTCTTTATTCATCCAGTTTTTTAAAGTGCTTTATCAATTTATATATAGTGTATATTTAATTCAACTATTTATTCGTAACGTAGTCCATATTTACAAAGGAGAAATGATAATTCTATAAAAGTTCTTCTCTAATTTATGATTTCTTTAAAGAAAAATAATAAATTGAATGGTTACTAATATCCGTTACTCGATATGTTGTTTTTTTAAATAGATTTTAAAAAGATGGACTTTTTTACCAAACATACTTATATTTAATTTAATTTAATTTAGTCTATCAAATACACGATCACTTTGAAAGTTCTGAAGTTAGATTTGTTATTTCGTCAAATTAAATATTAATCAATACGAAATCAAATATTAAAGTTTGTCACACAAATTATGTTTTCTTAAATACTGTATGACCAAGCGTCGATACTGCGCCTAATGGTTTATTCATATGGTTGCATTTACTAATTTATCTCGGAGTAACCGAACTTGAAACATAATTCTTCTTTCCCTTTTAATTTATTAATTACATTATGTCCACTCTTCGATATGGATTAATTTATGCAACAAATAATAGAGCATTAATGTTAGTTGATACTAAAATTCATAATGATATACATAAAGAATTTGAGTTCAAACAACAAACAGTTCTTGCTGATAAAATTCTTACAAATGAAGAAAAAACTGAGGCAATAAGGTTATTAACTAAAGATTATGATCGAAATAAAGTTATAGATGATGATGGTACAAGAAGAATTTGTGAAAATTGTAACCAAGAATGTTTAGCTACATTATATTGTGAATATTGTGTTCGCAATTATTTAAAAGAAAATTTTTCAAATTGGACATCTGGAAATGATGATATTGATAATTTAATACAGAAATGTCAAATGAAATCACTTGAACCACGGAATATAGTTGAATGGATCCCGTATAGCAATTTGAAAAATATTAATTATTTGACAAAAGGTGGATTTTCAGAAATTTATACAGCAGACTGGATTAATGGAGAGTATAGAGAATGGGATTCTGAAAAAAAACAATTAAGAAGAGGTGAAATACCTGGAATACAAAACTTAGTGGCAAAAGTAGTACTTAAAACGTTAGAAAATGTTGAAAGTGCAAATCAAAGTTGGTTTGAAGAAGTTTGTATAATTTTATTATATTTTATAAAATTAGTGCAATTTTTATAATAACACTAGTATTTTCATAATTATTGTCTTTAGGCTAAATCGCATTTAACTATAAGTAATAAATGGGCGGATGTTGTTCGATGTTATGGTTTAACACAAAATCCATCAAATGGAAATTATATGCTTGTAATGAATAAAATGGATATAGATTTAAGAAAATATTTACAACAAAATCATAATCAACTTACATGGAAAGATAGAGTTAATATTACTCATAATATAATTCTTGCACTTTATTATATTCATTATGAGAAAGCTATACATAGAGATTTGCATTCTGGAAATATATTATTTTTACAATCCTATGATTCCTGGTATATTAGTGATCTTGGATTTTGTGGACCTTGCAGATAAATCTTCAACAAGTATATATGGGAATCTTTCTTACATAGCACCCGAAGTTATTGTTGGAAGAGAATATACTTTTGCATCTGATATTTATAGTATTGCAATTCTTATGTGGGAAATTTCATCTGGACAAACACCATTTATAAATTATGAACATGAAAATGATATTGTAATGAATGTCATTAACGGTATAAGACCAAAAATTGTGCCAGGAACTCCATCAGAATATAAAAATTTAATGAAAGAATGTTGGGATGCTGATCCATTAAAAAAACCTGCCGCTTATGCACTTTGGAGAAAAATAAATGAAATTAATTTATATTATCAAAATATGCCAGATGAATTATTCAAATCAGAAATGGATAATTTAGTAATGAATAAAGTAGAAGAAAATTATACAAGTAGTAAATTAATTACAAGTAAAATTCACAATTTTGGAAATCTACCTGAACCAAGAAATGCAACAGAAGGTATAAATGTATAATATTTTATTAATAAAAGTATTTATTTTAAAATACATTATTAATGATACCTTTTTATTTTAATAGAAGAACAAGAAGGTATAACCGTATAAATAATAATTCCCATTTTGGTTACTACAATAATTTAACTTTTAAAATACTTTATTTTACTATTAATAGCGTTTCATAGTAAATTGTATGATTTTAACATTCCTAACAATGGTAAGTATTTAATAACGTTATAGTGTTGAATTATCATATAATGATGTTTAATAATTAATTTTTTATTTTAGTTAACGACTTTAATAAATCAAATGAGCAGAATAATAGCAAATCATCAAAAGTAATTACTATTTTAGAGGTAATGTATTTTAATTATCCCTATAAAAAATGCACTCCGGAAAATTTCCATTATACATCCATAATTATGCTTACGACTCCGTAAATCTTCAGTATGTCTCAACTGTAACCCGAATTTTTCATAATATTATTTGTAGTGCACATAGGAAACGGAATTTAAACGGATTTTTAAAATAGTTATAAAATTAAAATTTAATAAGTTTTTACGTCATTATTAATTTACTGACAAATTAATTAATAAAAATGGAACAAATACTAATTATATACGATAAAATAAGACAATAAAATACATATGCTTGTCTTTTTTTTACAAAAAATGGGATCTTTCCGGAAAAAATTTAGTAATGGTTTCTCTTTTAACACAAATGCTAAATTACAAATCAAATTTTTATTATTGTAAATAAAAATTGAAATTAAGTAATTTATCTGAATTTAACTCTGTTTTCTCGGTCAATGATATAAATTTCATTATTTGGCATTCTGAGAAATCCAACACTTCTGCAAATTGCACTAACATTAATTACTTCAAAAGCACCAAGATCTCGGAACTTCAATGGACCATGCCCAGATGGTTGAGGATTTCGAACCCATTGCACATATGCCAACATGGACCATTGTTCATCATATTGGTGAGAAAAAAAGTATTGTACCTCTCCGAAAAATTCTTTCTCTTCTAAAATTATTGGTGCATTTGGGCGATGGGCATTTCGATCCACTAAAAGTTGTGCAGAAAAGCAATAATTTGTGCGTGCAACATCTCCTTTACGATTTGATAGCTTTGAATTAATTATTAGTCCATTTTTTGTTCGAAGCTTTCCATACTTCTGAACAGATTGTGTAATGGATTTGAGTTGATTTTCATTTAATGCTGTTATATAATAAGCTTTGAGGCGTTGCATTTCAACTCTATCCATACAATATTTGCGTGATGGTGATTGCAACTCTTCTTCAGCACTATCTGTAGTAAAAACCCGATTTTCAGAATAATTTATTGATTTTTCCAACCCTTTCCCAAAAATCTTATGATATATTTCGGATTTATATTGAAGGTGTGAAAACTGAGTCCATATTGTAATCTGATTCTGAAGGTTTGTATAGGGATGCTGTTTAGATCGCACAAGAGGTAATAACATCCCACATAACCTCTCCATTGGATATTGCCAAGTTGCCCATGCAGGACCAGTATTACGAATTGAAGTGGCAATATGCAACAAGTAGTGATAAGAAATGAGTGCTGCTGGGAGTCGTGCAGGATCATTTTGAAGATATTCCCTTTCATAATGTGTGACAAATTCAAGAAATAATTTTTCAATTACTGCCAATTCTGTCATAGTGATATTTTGTTTAAGACAGAGTTTTACAGCATGCACAAATTTTGCCCATCCATTTAAGTACCTTTCTGAAAGATAATTCTGCAAAAGTGGAAGTGAGTATAAATTTACCCAGTTTGACCAGTCTTCTGCTTTAAATGCAGCTGAATGTCGTTGAATATCAATAGGTGGGCGTCCAAAATCAAGTGGCATATTTTTCCTATTTATATTCATGATATTTCCAATTTCTGTCCAAACTTTATTAGAAAGTACATAATCTGTATTATTATTGTGATCCTCCTTAAAAAAAGTACCAGACCAATGCCAAAGCATTGATGGTGCAATATTTTCAAATAAACCATGCATAATGTCAACAGGAAATGAAGTTGGAAATTTAATTGATTTAAGCTCAAACAAAATGCTTTGATCGTACACGCCCCTTTCCTGTACTTTTCTTTTATGTGATGATCCATTTGCATATTTTATAACATTAATATCATCAATATAACTTTCATGTGTTCTTAAAGGAAGATTTTTAGGATCATATTGGTTTTCTGACGTACCAGCAGGAGGTTTAAGTGGAAAGTATACATGACGATTTTCCTGACAATATGTCCCACAAATTGAACAAAACCGGCATGCTTTGTATGAATTATGTCCAGTTGTGCACATAACCTTAGCTAATGCTGGAATGTCACCAGACCAACTCAAAATATGTGCATGGAGAATAAAAGTCCTTTCTGTCAAACTATCAAAACATTGAACACCTTCCTGTAATTGTTTCAATTCATCAACAAGGGGTCTCAAAAAAGAATTGAAGTTTTTTGGTGTTTTGGGTCCTGGAATAAGTGCAGAAATTATTAGATTTTCATGTTGAACACGTATATTAGGTGGTAGATTTGCATTTATTAAAAGAATGACCCAACAATCATCTCTTTTCTGACGGAAAATTTGGTATCCATCAGTAGATGCCATTAATGCAATATCTCGATAATCTGAAAACAATCCAGAAGAAACTAGTGCTTTATAGTGAACCCCATCAAAGACATCACCTATTTGGTCACCAAAAGAGTATTCATTTGATGATGTGTAATTATGTCGGTATTGAAGTATCTTTGAACGATCTTTATCTTTATATTGTATCTGAAGTGAATCTTTAAGTGACCAATAAGCAGCACATTTTCGTGCAACCTTATTAAATTTGTAACGAGATTCCTTACAGTATGGACAGGTATCTTTGTTAATGAGTTCACCTGTAAATGCTATACATGAATTGATGCAGCAATCCACAATAATTGGTTTTATTGGAATAATATTTCCAAGAAGTTTTTGAAGTTTAAAAAGAGATATTCCAGGAATTTCCAAAGATTTAAGAATTTTTTCAAATGCAACTTCTGAAATATTATGTTCTACTTTAAGATGAAAAAGCCATAATCCTTTATTTAAATCATCTGATATTTCTCCATTATCATCAATTAATAATTCATCCCTCTCTTCATTATATTCATCCTCTTCATCTTCTAATAATGGATCAGTTTCATCATATTCACCTTCTTCATCTTCTAATAATAATGATTCATTTTCACTATATTCATCCTCTTCATCATCTAATAGTGGATGATTTTCAGCAAATTCATTCTCTTCACTACCTGATATTTCACTTTTATCTTCATTGGGTATTTCATCAGATATGATATAGCTTTGCACTTCATCATGGCTCTGATTTTCATCTTGATTTATATTCGTTAATAACAAAGTATTTGCAGATGATGATTGCAAGGAATTGGATAGTGGAGTTATAGTATTAGCAGCAAACGAGGTAACTAGATGTCTTTGTGATACAGGTGTATTTTCTAGAGTAGGCCAAGTATTCCTTTGATTTTTCATATGTCTTGCACGAGTAGATCGGCTGAATGTTCTTCCCTGGCCACCTGATTTTTGCAAACACCAAATACATGTGCATAGAACTCTATCTGTCATTTTAAAAGTAAAAAAATATTTTTTTTTTATTTTATAAATAATATAGCATTCAAAAATAATTTTATGAAATTTTAAAGTACAATTTATTAATTAATATTTTTATTATGCTATTTTTTGCAATATTAATTATAATATATAAAAACAAATTAAATCTAATTTGAAAAATAGTTACAACATATAAAATGAACTTACAATTGTTAAACTTTAATTATAACGCGTAAAATAAACTTACAATATTAAACTTTAGTTATAACGCGTAAAATAAACTTACAATATTAAATTTTAGTTATAACGCGTAAAATAAGCTTATTAAACTTTACTTAAAAAGGTTAAAACACGTAAAAATAAACTTACAATCCCTAATAAATATACTTTAATCTTTTACTTAATGCTTTAATACTTCTTAACTTTATTTTTCATTTTAATTTTTCTAAATCACTTCTATAATTTAAAATGTCATATAATACTAATCTTCCAGTTGATATTTCCACTCTTACTTCCGAAGAACGTCGCCATATTTTTATTGCATTACTTAATACTGATCCATCTTTACCTAATGCACTAAATTCTGAACAACGTCGTTGCCTATATTCTGTACTAATTGCTATTGATTCTTCTTTACTTCCAGATGCACGTAGTGCTGTACACGGGATAATGAATGAACAGGTTTCTTTTATACCATCATTATATTTTAAAAAATATTAATAAACTTTAAGTAAAATGTCGTATTACAGTTTCCAATAGGTTCAACAATGAATCCAATTATGCTTAAAACGTATGAGGATTATAAGGAAGAACACAAAAGAAATAAGAAAGAATTTCAGTGGCATGAATTCTTAAAACTTGATAAGAATCAATATCTGAATTTTAGGGCAAGTAATAAAAGTGTGACTTTACTAACTACTTTGATTTTAATAAAGTTTGAATATATTATAGAATGATCTACGTAATCGTGCTGCTTCCCGTTTTACACGTGGTGAAGCCCTATCTCGTCAACCAAAGGGAAGTGTAGGAGAAGTTATTAATGATGTAAGAGCCAGCTTGAATTTTATGATTTCAAAATGCACAGATACTAACATTAATTTACATAGTTTAAGGTAGCCAATCCAACATTTCCAATTTCGGAAACTGATTTCATTCTTCATGATTGGCTTACCTCATATTGTAATAGTATGGGTAAGTATTTTTTAATAGCTTTTTGATTATTACTTGTATAAATTATAAATTTTTGTTAATATTACATATAGTTGACCAAATAAAAAAGAAAAAAATTGTAGAAGCAAAGAATAAAGGGCTTCCATTACCACCAAAGAAAAAGAATATTCAGCCTCCTTCTAGATTAAAGCGTAGAACAGATAATATTACTGTAAATGAAGTCATTGATGATCCTGAGAATACTTCAGGTATTTAAGCTGTAATTTTATGATTAAAATATGACAACAATTTTATTACTAACTATTTATTTCAGAAGCGAATGCTTCAACTATTACTTCAGAAACAAATGCTTCAACAATTTCAAATATACCAGTTATAACTAAAGATATAGTACCTGATGATGATACGTCTCAAAGTATGATTTGGACGAATATTACTCTTTAATTTTTACAGTGTATTTATTTTATTTTCAATTTTCTATAGATACAAGGAGTAGAAAAAGAAAGCAGAAAACAACAGAAATTACTCCAGAAACTCCTTTACGAAAGAGCAAGAGAAACAGGAAGGTTAATTAATAATTAATTTATTCAGGAAAAATTCAATATTTTATCCTATATTTATCCATTTTACTAATAAAGTGAGAATTCAGCATTTTATCCGATATTCTTCCATTTTATAAATAAATTTTATTAAGTGAAAATTCAGCATTTTATCCGATACTCTTCCATTTTATAAATAATTTTATTAAGTGAAAATTCAGCATTTTATCCGATATTCTTCCATTTTATAAATAAATTTTATTCAGTGAAAATTCAGCATTTTATCCGATACTCTTCCATTTTATAAATAATTTTATTAAGTGAAAATTCAGCATTTTATCCGATATTCTTCCATTTTATAAATAAATTTTATTCAGTAAAAATTCAGCATTTTATCCGATATTCTTCCATTAATTTATTCAGTGATAATTCAACATCTTATCTGATAATTTTCCATTTTATTAATAAAATTTATTCAGTTTAAATTCATTGTTTTATCCGATATTTCTCCATTTTATTAATAAAATTTATCCAGTAAATTATCCATTTTTTATAATTATAAATTCCGTGAATATGCTACATTTATGGAGAAAACATGGAATCATGTGATTATTAATAAAAACGGAATAATTACGGATTCAAAACACGGAATTAATTTTTTACAGGGTATTGTCAAATCGAGATTGATTTATATATTAAACCTGTATCTTAATTTTTAGATAGTAGTAAAAAATTATCTAAATTATTTAAAAAATTGCAGATAAATTCAAATGGTAAGTAAATTACTAACAAATAAAATTCATTTTATATCAATTTCATTTATTAAACGTGACTTTTATTTAAATTTAGATGATGAAAAAGAAATCACCCAACAAATAGAAAGACAAAATATTAATACCGACAGTAGGTGAAAATTTTACATAATAACAAATAATTCTTTTACTATATTAATTATGTTTATTTTCTTATAGATGATTACGAAATATATAATAATCCAAATTTTCATTCAAAAGAACAAGATGAACTGGAAATTCCTGATGGTAAGTTCTTAAATAAATAAGATTTCTTTTTTAAAGCAAACTAATTAATTTACTAATTTATTCTTTAGATGGATTTTAAATTGAATTTTTATAAAATTATCATTAACAAATATTATATTATATTCCAAATTGTTATTCATTTATTTATACTTTATTTTGAATTATTTAAACACTAAGACTAGAGTAGTAAAAAAAAATGTTTTACAAGATTCTTAGTTTGTAATTTAAATAAATTATATAATAAAGTTATTCATATTTTTTAAATATATAAATTATCAATAAAAAATTTATAATAACAATTTATCTTTGTCGTCATCTATTCTTATTTATCTATTATATGATATTTTTATCTCAACAATACTTAACGGCTTATATATAAAAAAAATGGCCGATCAAAAACATTTCACTCATGGGTTTCTCTCAATTGAAGATAATAATTTTTGTTTTTGTTTGATATTTACGTTCAAAGCATTTTTTTAAGTTTTCTTTTATTTCGTATTTTAAGATTTTATAAATTGAATCAAATACGGATATTTATTATGAAAGTACACTCATAATTATCTAATACTGCCAATACTGATTCCTGACTTTTATAATTCATTTTACTCACCGATAAACTATTTAATACGACAAAACATATTACGCAGCTGATTAAGAAATTACGTTTATAGTTCAGCGCTTTTATCTAATCATTTTTATCATCTTTGTACAATACTTAAAGCAAAGTTATTTATAGATCACATTTGTAAACAAATTCAAAAATTTTACATTAAGATGAAAATATAGATTTTTTGATGAACAACGACAATAATATTTAAATATGATATTACCAATTGGATAAATGATAGAAAAGAAGATCCAAAGAATAATATGAAATATGTAGAGTATGCAGGTACAAAATCAATGTTCAGAGGATTAGAGGATTTGGTGCTGAAGTTGAAAGATTTGATAATTATGTCAAAAAATAAAGTAGAAAATTACAAGTTCTTGAATCAACTGAAATTGGATTAAGAATAAGAATTTCCACAAGTTTTCAATAAGGTCAAGATATCAAAGTGGCTTCGAATAAAGTACTCTAACTGTGTACCCTCCAACATATATATTTCTCTCTCTTGTCAAAAGGGAATGACATTAAGGTACAATAGTATCGTATACGGCATATATTATTAATATTAAGGTTGTACAGGTTTCAGTAGATTTTGCGTATATAGCTCGTTCATGATATTTATTACTTCTTGTATACCAAAACTGCTTAGTTTTTGGTAAAAAAGTCCAATAAATAGGAATGTATTTAAAAGTAATTTTTAAAACTCTTAATGAAACTTTTGGTATGATATTTTCGCAAAAATTATAATTTGTTTGGTTTTACTGCGGATTTTTAACAAAATTAAGAATTTGTGGAAAGAGTTTCGCAGTAACCTTATCAAAGATCATAGATAGTGCATACTTAATTGATGTATTTCTCCGTAGGAATTAGTTGCAATGATGTTCTTTCTGTTTATTGCATTATTTCAGTAAAAAATCCTACATTCAATGATTCAATGATATTAAACATGTATACAATCATGAAGTTTTACATACTATTTTGCTATCATAACTCATGACATATACATATATTTCATCTTTACCTTAAATCATTGCATAATAAAAAATGGTAAAATTGACGGAAAATTTTACCTATGATTTTTAATTTTAAACCATATTTGATATTTGATATTACACTGGAAAAAAAAATTAAAAAATTATCTAAAATAGTAACAAATAAAAAATCAAAATAAGGTCATACAAACTTATTTTTTTTGGTTTTCATATCCTGGTCGGATTTTTTATAAAAGTTAAAAAAAAAAAAAAATTTCATTTGAATTTTACATATAAAATTTTTTTGAAAAGAAAAATTAAAGTCGGATTGCTGGGTTATTTTCAAAATTGTTATTGTTATGAGATCCGAAAAATTAAGTTTGCATGACCTAATTTATTAAAAAAAAAAAAAATTTTTTTTTTTTTTTTTTTTT